AATGGAAATCTATAATCAATAATCTATAATCATTAAACAGTGTATAAACTCTAGAGCTATGTTCTATATGGAGCTGATCAATGATCAATAATCAATAAGCTGTCATACATTGACTGTTTAGACGGTCGCTGTTTAGATCTTGGTGCTTTTTATTTGAACCGGATGAAGGATTTTAGTCATCGGACGTCTGGATTTTAAGTTAATGGTGGTGAAGACAACAACTCCCATGATCCCACGCTGCTTTACCACCTCATCACACTTCCTGTTTTCTTACTGTTTGGATGTCAGAGAGCCCCTAGTGGCAGAAACTACATACTGTAGGTGTAAAGCTCCATACTGGCTAAAGGAAGTAGGAAAGATATGAAGGTAAAATGGTTGTGAATGGTTAATGTGACAGAACGATCCAAACTCATTTTCCCCAAAACACATTTAAAAGAGTGAAAACTATATGTATATGTATATATATACATATATATATACATATACATATACACATATATATACACATATATATATACACATATATATATATACACATATATATATACACATATATATATACATACATATATATACATATACACATATATATATATATACATATACATATACATATATATACATACATATACATATATATATATACATACATATACATATATATATACATATATATATACATACATATATAAAATGTGTGTGTGTGTGTATGTATATGTGTGTATATATATACACACATATACATATGTATATATATTATAAGTAATGTCATTAATCAATTCTAAAGATCTGTCCAATCATTTTCGGCATTGTAAGGCCAACAGTCTGTTAAGACTCTACAGACACAGTTACTGTCAGTAAGTCACTGCTGTGTTCTCAGCGTGAACCTACAACATTTACAGGAACACAACAAAACCACTTTCTCCACCACAGAAGAAGAGTGTGGTTTCATGACCACATCCTGTTCCACCATGTTTCTCTACTGCTTTAAATCAGTCCTCAGATCAGTTCTCACCGATCTCACAGCCAGAACAGACAGATACACACCGAGGAGCCCCACATACCACACTACTGCTGGTACTGGTGGTACTGGAGGTACTGGAGGTACTGGTGGTGATACTGGTGGTAGTGGTACTGGTACTGGTTGCACGGATGCTGGTGGTACTGGTACCTGCTGTCCTTCCTGTTGTCTGACTCACTGACACAGGTCTGATCAGACACATGTCATTTCTCAAACACTATCTCACATCAGAGTGCCTCAGTGTTGCCACGGCAACGTATGATGATTATATCACTGACTTCAACACGTCTCCATGACAACAGTCGACATCACGTCTGTAATGAGGTCACATGTTCCATCACCGGTAGAGTCCCAACCAGAATCAAGGCAACACAATATTCCTCTCTACTGCCTTACTCTACTGCGCTCTACTGTCTTACTCTACTGCGCTCTACTGTCTTACTCTACTGCGCTCTACTGTCTTACTCTACTGCGCTCTACTGCCTTACTCTACTGCGCTCTACTGTCTTACTCTACTGCCTACTCTACTGCGCTCTGCCTTACTCTACTGCCTCTACTGCCTTACTCTACTGCGCTCTACTGCCTTACTCTACTGCCTTACTCTACTGTCTTACTCTACTGCCTTACTCTACTGCCTTACTCTACTGCGCTCTACTGTCTTACTCTACTGCGCTCTACTGCCTTACTCTACTGCGCTCTACTGCCTTACTCTACTGCCTTACTGCCTTACTCTACTGCGACCTACTGCTCTTACTCTCTACTGTCTTACTCTACTGCGCTCTACTGTCTTACTCTACTGCGCTCTACTGCCTTACTCTACTGCGCTCTACTGCCTTACTCTACTGCGTTACTCTACTGCCTTACTCTACTGCGCTCTACTGCGACCTACTGCCTTACTCTACTGCGCTCTACTGCCTTACTCTACTGCGCTCTACTGCCTTACTCTACTGCGCTCTACTGCCTTACTCTACTGCGCTCTACTGTCTTACTCTACTGCGCTCTACTGTCTTACTCTACTGCGCTCTACTGCCTTACTCTACTGCGCCCTGCCTCTACTGCGCTCTACTGCCTTACTCTACTGCGCTCTACTGCCTTACTCACTCTACTGCGCTCTACTGTCTTACTCTACTGCGCTCTACTGTCTTACTCTACTGCGCTCTACTGTCTTACTCTACTGCGCTCTACTGTCTTACTCTACTGCGCTCTACTGTCTTACTCTACAGCGCTCTACTGCCTTACTCTACTGCGCTCTACTGTCTTACTCTACTGCCTTACTCTACTGTCTTACTCTACTGCACTCTACTGTCTTACTCTACTGCGCTCTACTGTCTTACTCTACTGCGCTCTACTGTCTTACTCTACTGCGCTCTACTGCCTTACTCTACTGCGCTCTACTGTCTTACTTTACTGCCTTACTCTACTGCACTCTACTGTCTTACTCTACTACGCTCTACTGCCTTACTCTACTACGCTCTACTGCCTTACTCTACTACGCTCTACTGTCTTACTCTACTGCGCTCTACTGTCTTACTCTATTGCCTTACTCTACTGCCTTACTCTACTGCCTTACTCTACTGCCTTACTCTACTGCGCTCTACTGCCTTACTCTACTGTCTTACTCTACTGCACTCTACTGCCTTACTCTACTGCCTTACTCTACTGCACTCTACTGTCTTACTCTACTGCACTCTACTGTCTTACTCTACTGCACTCTACTGTCTTACTCTACTGCACTCTACTGTCTTACTCTACTGTCTTACTCTACTGCACTCTACTGTCTTACTCTACTGTCTTACTCTACTGCGCTCTACTGTCTTACTCTGCCTTACTCTACTGCACTCTACTGTCTTACTCTACTGTCTTACTCTACTGCACTCTACTGCGCTCTACTGTCTTACTCTGCCTTACTCTACTGCAGTCTACTGTCTTACTCTACTGCCTTACTCTAATGCATTACTCTACTGCCTTACTCTAATGCATTACTCTACTGCCTTACTGTCTTACTCTACTGCCTTACTGTCTTACTCTACTGCCTTACTGTCTTACTCTACTGCCTTGCTCTACTGTCTTACTCTACTGCCTTGCTCTACTGTCTTACTCTACTGCCTTACTCTAATGCATTACTCTACTGCCTTACTGTCTTACTCTACTGCCTTACTGTCTTACTCTACTGCCTTGCTCTACTGTCTTACTCTACTGCCTTGCTCTACTGTCTTACTCTACTGCCTTGCTCTACTGTCTTACTCTACTGCCTTGCTCTACTGTCTTACTCTACTGCCTTACTGTAATGTCTTCCTGTAATGTCTTACTCTAATGCGTTACTCTACTGCGCTCTATTACCTTGCTCTACTGCGCTCTACTGCCTTGCTCTACTGTCTTACTCTACTGCGCTCTACTGTCTTACTCTACTACGCTCTACTGTCTTACTCTACTGTCTTACTCTACTGCCTTGCTCTACAGCCCTCTACTGCCTTACTCTACTGCGTTACTCTGCTGTCTTACTCTAATGTGTTACTCTAATGCGTTACTCTACTGCGCTCTACTACCTTACTCTACTGCCTTACTCTACTGCGTTACTCTACTGCGCTCTACTACCTTACTGTCTTACTCTACTGCGCTCTACTACCTTACTCTACTGCGCTCTACTACCTTACTGTCTTACTCTACTGCGTTACTCTACTGTCTCACTGTAATGCCTTACTCTACTGCGCTCTACTGCCTTGCTTTACTGCGCTCTACTGTCTTACTCTACTGCCTTCTACTGTCTTACTCTACTGCCTTACTCTACAGCCCTCTGCCTTACTCTACTGCGCTCTACTGCCTTACTCTAATGCGTTACTCTACTGTCTTACTCTACTGCGCTCTATTGCCTTACTCTACTGCCCTCTACTGTCTTACTCTACTGCCCTCTACTGTCTTACTCTACTGCCCTCTACTGTCTTACTCTACTGCCCTCTACTGTCTTACTGCCTTACTCTACTGTCGCCCTCTACTGCCTTGCTCTACAGCCCTCTACTGCCTTGCTCTACAGCCCTCTACTGTCTTACTCTACTGTCTTACTGCCTTACTCTACTGTCTTACTGCCTTACTCTGCTGTCTCACTGTAATGTCTTACTCTAATGCGTTACTCTACTGCGCTCTACTGCCCTGCTCTATTGCGCTCTACTGCCTTGCTCTATTGCGCTCTACTGCCTTACTCTACTGCCTTGCTCTACTGCCTTGCTCTACAGCCCTCTACTGCCTTGCTCTACTGCCTTGCTCTACAGCCCTCTACTGTCTTACTCTACTGTCTTACTCTACTGCCTTGCTCTACTGTCTTACTCTACTGCCTTACTCTAATGCATTACTCTACTGCCTTACTGTCTTACTCTACTGCCTTACTGTCTTACTCTACTGCCTTACTGTCTTACTCTACTGCCTTACTGTCTTACTCTACTGCCTTGCTCTTCTGTCTTACTCTACTGCCTTGCTCTACTGCCTTACTCTACTGCCTTACTGTAATGTCTTCCTGTAATGTCTTACTCTAATGCGTTACTCTACTGCGCTCTATTACCTTGCTCTACTGCGCTCTACTGCCTTGCTCTACTGTCTTACTCTACTGCGCTCTACTGTCTTACTCTACTACGCTCTACTGTCTTACTCTACTGTCTTGCTCTACAGCCCTCTACTGCCTTACTCTACTGCGTTACTCTGCTGTCTTACTCTAATGTGTTACTCTAATGCGTTACTCTACTGCCTTACTCTACTGCGCTCTACTACCTTACTCTACTGCCTTACTCTACTGCGCTCTACTACCTTACTGTCTTACTCTACTGCGCTCTACTACCTTACTCTACTGCGCTCTACTACCTTACTGTCTTACTCTACTGCGTTACTCTACTGTCTCACTGTAATGCCTTACTCTACTGCGCTCTACTGCCTTGCTTTACTGCGCTCTACTGTCTTACTCTACTGCCTTCTACTGTCTTACTCTACTGCCTTACTCTACAGCCCTCTGCCTTACTCTACTGCGCTCTACTGCCTTACTCTAATGCGTTACTCTACTGTCTTACTCTACTGCGCTCTATTGCCTTACTCTACTGCCCTCTACTGTCTTACTCTACTGCCCTCTACTGTCTTACTCTACTGCCCTCTACTGTCTTACTCTACTGCCCTCTACTGTCTTACTCTACTGCCTTACTCTACTGCACTCTACTGCCTTACTCTACTGTCGCCCTCTACTGCCTTGCTCTACAGCCCTCTACTGTCTTACTCTACTGTCTTACTGCCTTACTCTACTGTCTTACTGCCTTACTCTACTGTCTTACTGCCTTACTCTGCTGTCTCACTGTAATGTCTTACTCTAATGCGTTACTCTACTGCGCTCTACTGCCCTGCTCTATTGCGCTCTACTGCCTTGCTCTATTGCGCTCTACTGCCTTACTCTACTGCCTTGCTCTACAGCCCTCTACTGCCTTACTCTACAGCCCTCTACTGCCTTACTCTACAGCCCTCTACTGCCTTACTCTACTCTACTGCGCTCTACTGCCTTACTCTGTCTTACTCTAATGTGTTACTCTACTGCACTCTACTGCGTTACGGTAGGGGGGCAGTTAGGGCTCAGCAGGTCGTCCCACAATCAGAACCGTCCTTGAGCAGATTAATTTAAAAGGTCCTCACTGTGTCTGTGAACTGGCTTCAGGTGGTCAGAGAGGACGCAGACATTTACAACCTGGAGGCCCATTCTCACATTCAGCTGGTTTACAGGCTGCAAGTTTCTACACGCTGCTGGATGCAACCCTGCATTCAATATCTCACTCACACACACTCACACACACTCTGCTGCAGCTCAGTGTGTGTTTCAACAGGTGTGCAGCTGCAGGACACACCTGTTGAAACACACACATTGAGCTGCACTCTGCATCAGCAGCATGTAAACAGCATCCAGAGGCTCTCTTACCGTTGATCAGCGGGTTTGAATCCATCTTCAGCTTAATGTTTTCGTCTGTTTCTGTTGAGTCTCCGGCACCCTCACTCCTCCTCCATGCTGCTGATATCTGTCTGTCTGTCTGTCTGTCTGTCTGTCTGTGTGTGTGTGTGTGTGTGTGTGTGTGTGTGTGTGTGTGTGTGTGTGTGTGTGTGTGTGTGTGTCGGAGCAGGTTACAGCTGTCAGAGCCGGGCTGAGGAGGCGACGTTCAGCAGCTTCTCCCGCGACCTGCTGGCGTTATGTAACCGCTGCGAGCTGCTGCTGCCGCCGCTGCCGGGCTCCCGGGGCTCCATGCTAACACTCTCACTGTCAAACAGTCCGTCAGAGAAACAGCCAACAACGCAGCTGATGAATATGCTAATGCTAATGCTAATGAACGGAGCGTTACATCCCTGCTGTCACCACCTGGAGCTGTTGACAAACAGGAGCTAACTAGCTTAGCAGGCTAACTAACTCCTTTTATTGGAGATAAAATTGATTAAATGTTTACTCCTCGGAGGATTCCGGAGCCGCAGCTTCAACTTCAGGCTGCTGCTCGTGTTTCCTCCAAAGTTCCTGGTTCTCTGGAAGCTGTTAGCCTAGCGTGCTAACCAGCTAGCCTAGCCTAGCCTCCTGCTCTGACAGCCCCCCCCACCACCACCCCCCCCCCACCCCGACCAGCGCTGCTGACTGCGGGCACAGAGCCGGGACAGAGCCGGGACAGAGCCGGACCAGAGCCGGGACAGAGCCGGGACAGAGCCTGGTGCTCGGCCGCGGGGGGAAGTGGTTTGTAGGATCCGGCCGGTTGGCGGGGAGCGGACTGAAGACTCCGCCCGGAGACTGAACTCATCAGTTGAGTGTTTTCCCGGGTCTCTTCCTGAACGGACGGACGCCTCCTCACTACTTTCACCAGTCAGCTCAGCGGAAGTTCAGACAATCACACTTTTGTATTTCAAAACAAAACTTTGTGAATTGATTAATGAAATACATAAACTCTACAAGTATACCAAACATTGCATTATAAAACTTTCATTTACTGTAAATAAAAAAATTGTACGACAAATAAAATAAAGAAAGAAACAGAAAACCAAACGCAATCATCTTGCTAAACAATTTGAAATTTCTAAAACATTTTATGAAGTTTTCAGTAGTTAAAAATGTGTTTCTTTTAAAATCAGAATCTAAGTATTAAAGGAGGGAAATCTTTGAAGCCGACTCTATCCTCTGCAGAGAAGCTCACCGAGTATGACGCTCCACAAAATGTCCAGCTCACCGAGTATGACGCTCCACAAAATGTCCAGTAGCCTGAGCAGGTAGCTCCGTCCTTACATCCATATCTGCCCACACTCATTCATTCCCCACATATAACCTCTCTGTGTGCTTCCACTACACAAAATCAACATCTGCTATAAGGGGTTTCAAAATCTGTGTACAATGTAAAACAACTAGTGCCTCAATACAGAAGAAAAGCTCCACAAATAAACTTTAATGGGAAGCAGAAGAAGATGAAGAAGATCAGGGTTGGTTTCAGATTTTGGACAAAATGTGACTTTTTGAATGAACACTGAGCCGTTTATTAATATAATGAAATGCATATTGAAAACAATTAGTAATACATATATATAGGCTTTATATTATAATAATATTTCATGCTGATTTACTAACTGTATGTTTATGTGTGAAATCTCAATATCAATATCAATGAATACGTGTATATAATACAGAACTTGTTCCACTGTTTCATTATTATTACATATTTTCTATTCTATTTACTTTAATGGAATATATTCTGGTCTGTTTCTATATTTTTGGTATTTTATTACTATAGATATATCTTTTTACTTTTCCTGTGTACAACGTGAAATTAAGTGTAAAATGAGAGGGTTGCTCTTTTATTTTGAAGGAACGTTGTTGCTCTTTGCTTGAGTTCCGGTATTTTGTGAACTTGACACATGCGCAGTGTGTTTCTGCAGCACCAGCGTGATGACGTCAGACGCTCATCACTGAACTGTTTTTAAAGTGTTTATTGTAACAAAGCGATCAAAGTACAAACTATAATTATTACTAACTCAAACCAACTACAGAAATATTCAATAAAACATATTCTCCTCATTCTGTGCTTCAGGAACAATATTCTGAGAGTGCGTGCGTGTGCGTGCGTGTCTGTGTGTGTGTGTGTGTGTGCGTGCGTGTCTGTGTGTGTCTGTGTGTGTGTGCGTGCGTGTCTGTGTGTGTCTGTGTGTGTGTGTGTGCGTGTCTGTGTGTGTGTGTGTGTGTGTGTGTGTGTGTGTGTGTGTGCCTCCATTCAGTTCCCAGTTTCCATGACAACAGGCTCAGTGCTGTTGCCTGACTGGCTGCAAACACTCCAACTGATGATCACATCTGGATAACAAACAATCCAGATGTGATTAATAATAATAATAATAATTATTATATATAATAATAATTATTATTATATATCATTATTATTAATATTATTAATTAAGTATATATAATATATATAATTATTTATAATAATAATTATTATTATTATTAAAGCTGCAAGCAGCGTTGGGAGGGACCTCGCACTCCACGCAACTCGGGGCGTGCTGCGGCCGTGTTGCGTGCCATCGTAACACGTGCGGACCAACACATGAAATTTCACGTAAATCAGCTCAAAATCGCCACGCAGCGCTTCCTGTTACCAGTAGGTGGCGCTATCACTATGTCTGAATATTGTCATGTAGACGTGTTCAGGGTGGGACTGTTATCAAACACGTGAAGTTTCATTGAGATTGGATCATGTACGCTGAAGTTATGAGGACGTGTTCAGGGTGGGACTGTACATTGAAGATATGAGTACTATCTGTTTGATGGCCAATCGGTGGAATTCGACACGTCGTCACGGGCACACGGTTAAACATACAGTCACAAATAGCACAACGTTTGATAACCAATGTGTGTAGATTGGAGTGATCGAATTTGAAGTCAATCTGATAAAATCTGTAGGAGGAGTTCGTTAAAACAGAAGCCCTTAAATGCAGGAAATAGCATCACAGTTTGACATTCGATTCAACCTGGCCAACTTTCAGGGAACGCCACGGACACGCCCTTTAACGTACAGTCACAAATAGCACAACTTTCAATCAGCACCATTTTGACTGTACTGACTAATTTTGAAGCAGATCCAATAAATTCCCTAGGAGGAGTTCGTTCAAATACAACACAAAAAGTTTGCCGAAAATGAAACTTTAAATCAAAATGGCCGACTTCCTGTGGGGTTTCGGGTATGGGTCCAAGAGGCTTTTTTGTACGTCCCGGCATGTTACACGTGCCTACCGAGTTTCGTACATATCGGTGAAACTTGGCGCCGGGGCTGCTGTTTTTTTATCCTGTAGGGGGCGCTACAAACGCTATTTTTGGTATGTGAGCTTCAGGCACCACTCTACACGTAACCTGTGAATTTCATATTCATAACTATTACGGTCTCCGCACAGTGATTTATCATGCCACCAGAGCGCCACCTAGTGGCAGATTGTTGACACATTTTTTAGCGAGCCTCAGGGAGCCATGGGGAAGCATCGTATTAAGTTTCATCTTAATCACACATACCGTTGTAGAGATATAAACTTCTACATTTTAAAGAGCGCCACCTAGTGGCGATGGCCTGAAATTGTGCACGATGCCTAAGGAAGACATGTTGAACTATGGACCCAAGTTTGGTGTAAATCGGACAAACCAATGTGGAGAAATGGTCCTCTTCCTTTTTTGACAAATAATCCACAGGAAGTGATAATTTTAATTTTTGAAATATCAAAATTCTGTTAATCACTTTTTTATTTTGAGGGTCCTCAGATGCTACGTGAAAAAGTTTGTGTGAATCGGACAAAGCGCATGGGGGGAACACGGAAAAGTAGTTTATTGACATTTCGCGCTCTAGCGGAGAAAGATTATAGTGGGCGGGGCCTATATGGCGAGATTCAGCTCCGTTCACCGAACACGTGGATACAAGGTTTATGAATGTGCGACAAACTACGCAGTTTTTATGATAGTAG